CTCTCTCTCTCTCTCTCTCTCTATATATATATATATATATATATATATAGAGAGAGAGAGAGAGCAGCAAAAAGATAATGCATAAAAAAATGAGTAACACGAAATCCGAGGATGATAAAAGATAAAACTAAGAAAAAGAAATAAATTATTTTGGTAAAAATAAAATGGCAAGAGTAGACGGAAGAAAATTGAATGTTGAAGAATGCACCTAAAAATCTCTTCTAACCTATGACATTGCATGATACATAGTATCCCTGACTATCCTTTGTAGGTACATAATTGTGGTAACCTAGGGAAGGTTACTGATTAGAATAATCAAAGGTTGCTAATGAACGATAATACTTAGGACAAGAACAACGCATATAAGATTCGCCAGCCGCGCGTAGAAGAAGTAGTCAACTGCCAGAAGTGAGTCAAGTGAATTCTATAATTAATCTTCGACGACAGGATATCTACCAACCGCCGATGCGTTCAGATGTGGCACAAGGCCGAATTTTATGTGGGGTATCCGAGCCCATAGACTCGACCAAAATTTCCCCGTAGAACGCGTATAAAACCGGATCGGGTAGCTGTTTCCCAAGACGAGACATTCCCTTTCGACATAGACTTGTCAGCGGATCCTCTCTGCCCGGAGGCAGAGATTTTGACCAGCACAGCTGGAGACGAATCTACAACTGCAGACCAACATACAGTATTTACTACTGTATTTTTGTGAATAGGGACATACCCATTATCGTCCGTAGGTATGCTACAACAATAATTTTTTTATAATTTTTTTTATAATCTACTAAGATGCAAGGGTCACTGATTGTCAGAGAATATGAGAATAAAAATACTATTAAGTAGAGAGAACATTAAAAGAATAAGATAGAAGATATCGATTGATACTGCGTTTACGTTTTTGAAGATCAAACTTGATTGGAAAACAAGGAGCCAGGAAAGACTCACACAAGCGAGAAGTGCGATAGAAGAAACTGTTAGCATAGAACTTACGGTTCACCAATTTAGTACCACGCTTAATTTTATAAAGTCTATGTACCATAGAGAAAAGTTCATCAGAACAATTACCATAAAAAATATTTATAGAAAAGACACAGGGAAGCTACATTACAGCGGTGGGAAAGTAGACTGAAGCTGAGATGCCAGGTCAAGACAAATAACATTGCAGAATCTTCTTTGGATTTTATCAAGAATCTCTAAATATATCGCAGTATCAGGCATAATGTAGCAGAAATATTCAAAGAATGAATGAATGCTAAAGTTAGAAAGATGCAAGTTTAGCCCAACGCAGGGTACCACCATTCCTAGCAGCAGACCTAGTAAATCGATATAATCTTCCCATTTCATGTCATCGGAAAACATTGGTCAGCGAAAGCGCAATGAACCATTGAGACAAGGAGGTTAGCATCAACCATAGTGATTGAAGGTGAAAGGGTTCTCTTAGACGATTAAAAGAGAGCTGCTTTGGAGGCGTTTAAATTAACAAGTCATTTCTTGCCCCAGTTAACAACCGAAAGTAGATCTTTTTTTTTTTTTGTTTTTTTTAGACCAGCCGCTAATATGACTTTATCAACTCGCTCAAACTTACTATTAAGACAGGAATAAATGGCTGTGTTGTCAGCATAGATGCCGAGTTGAGACCTGGTGGCGCCAGAAAGATCGCTGAAAATTGGGAACAACGTAGGTTGACGGTTCGGGCCCTGATGCAAGAAGAGTTGCCATTCAAGAAAACATTCATTTCATGATTCGATAAGAAAGATTGAATCAGTTCAAAAATTTGTCCAGATTAAATAAAAAAAGGGTATATCCTGTTCGGGGATGTTTATAATCTATCCTAGATTTGTTTTATACCTGGGGGTATTGCTTGGCGCAGCGTAACTTTTAAAATAAGGTAGCTTTACTCGAATAACCCTACCTTTAAAAAAGCCAGGTCAGCAGGCCGAAAATTGAGTACTGCTGCCGTATACTGACAGGAGTTGCCGTATCTTCAGGCTTGATAGAGTCCAAAAGCGTCTCCGCGTCGTTACAACCCTTTTCCCCGCAGACGAAACGTCACAAGCTTCTCGCTGCTCTATCGCTATTTCCATGGCAAATGTTCAGACGAACTATATTCCTTGGTTCTACGAGTTGCAACCTTTACGGCTAAGACCCGCCATGCCACTCACATAGCGAACTACCCTAATCCCCACTGGTGAGATGTAACTTCCACTCGAGCAGCTTCTACCGAGGAAGCGCCGTTTTGTGGAACTGACTCCCAAGAGGATGCTTCTCCGATCATTACAATCTTAATCTGTTCAAGTCTAGGGTTAACCGTTATCTTCCTCGCATATCCGCATAAACTGTGCCTCTTACTCTATAACCATCACCCTCGAGTGGCTCTTGGGCCTTGTACAGGGTGAACATTATTATAAAGAAGAGAAGACTGAACGATTATGCCGATAATATTGGGAATAAATTTAAGTTTTTTGTTTATTGAATTAGATTTGACAGTCCTATGTAA